GGTAACGCATCTATAAGGATGTTCTATAAACAATCTTGAAATTCAGTGTATGTCATTTCGCCGAAGTGTAAACAACTTTGTTTTCATAGCGATAAACACGTCGGATTTCGTGCCAAAGAAAGTGTATTTGCGGAAATTTTACTGCACTACTTTATTCAAAAACAATTTGCAGGTGAAACACGCAGTATTCATGTTGAAACTTACGTCAACCAAGCTCTGTCTGAAACAACATAATTTTGGTGTTCAAGATAAATAACGGTCTGGCACACCGAAAAAGTTCGAAGACGAAGAATTGTAAGCATTAATTCATGAAGACTCATGTCAGGCGCAAGCTGAACTTGCGAATCGTTAGGAGTTGATCATACAACAATTTCGAAAGGTTTGAAAGTATTAGGAATGATTGAAAAGCAAGGACATTGTGTGCCGTGCTAGTTGAAGCCGAGAGACGTTAAACGGCGTCTTGTCACGTGTGAACAGCTGCTTCAACGTGACTGGCGATGAAAAGTTGATGCACTACCATAACCCTAAACGTAGAAATTCGTGGGGTAATTCCGGACATGCATCAACATCGGCGGCAAAGCCGAATATCCAGGGTTCGAAGCTTCTGCTCTGCATTTGGTGAGACCAGGTGGGTGTAGTTTATTATGAGCTGCTCAAACCCATCGAAACCATCACGTGAGATCGCTGTCGACTACAATTGATGCGATTGAGCCGAGCATTAAAGAAAAAAACGGCTGCTATAGGAGCAGAGATGCAACAAAGTTATTTCCAAAATGACAACGCTGGGTTACATGTTGCAAAACGGGTGAAAACCTACTTGGAAATGCTGGTATAGGAAGTTTTCCCTCCCCCTGACCTGTTGTATTCAGCAGACATTGCCCCGTTCGATTATCATTTGTTCCGATCGTTGGCATGTGGCCTGGCAGCACTGTCATTCTTATGAAGATGCCCCCAAAATGGGTAGACTCGGGGTTAGCCTCAAAAGACGTGTCGTTTTTCCGACGTGGAATTCAAATGCTGCCAGAAATATGGGAAAAAGTAATGGCTAGCGATGGACAATACTTTCACTGACGTTTCTTACTAATCTTTGTAAATAAAAAAAAAATCAGTGAGAACCTATCAAGGTCCATATACATATATATATATATATATATATATATATATATATATATATATATATATATGAGGAAATATAGTTTTAATGTGTGCTATATTTATAGGTTAAAGTGCTCAATATCAGAGACAGAGCGTTTGTAAATATAAATATAAAAGTGAACATTGAAGTCAACACTCAGAAGCAACAGGCTGTTTCATACTAGACGCAATCGTCAGGAGGCCTGACGATAGTGTCTAGCATGAAACACTCTGTCGCCTCTGAGTGTTGGTTTTTAATATTTACTTATATATATATATAAGTGTGTGTGTGTATGTATGTATGTATGTGTGTGTGTGTGTGTGTGTGTATGTATGTGCGTGTGAGAGAGAGAGAGAGAAGGAGTGGGAAAGGTTTTCGGCCCGAACTATTTTCCACAATCTGTACAAATGTGTAAACGTTAGAATTCGTATGGCATTCTTCTTGGTCGGTCCGAGAACTTTTCATTATTCTTAATATATAATCATTGATTTTTATTTGTACTGCTAACGTCAACTGAATGTTTCGTTTCGGTTATACAAAAGTCGTTAAAACACACTAAAACCTCTGGCTCCAGTTTCCAATTGATAAGATGATTTTGTTTTCAACAAACCTTATCTCAACAGCCCATTAACATCTATTTTTAAAAGGTTTTTAAAAAGATATTCATATTACGTCTTACGTTCTAAGTAACTAATTATTGTCAGAAATATTTGTTATTCTAACGTTATTTCTGTGACTTTTGGTTCGATCATTTTTATTGATGTAACTAAACGATTCATTGGACTGCGAAGATGCCCTTCTTTTTAGAATATTCTTCTGTGTTTGCTTTTTGAACTTAAAAAAGCTTTGAACAGAATTGCGCAATTTCAGAATGCCTCTTGAAACTTTCCTTTAATTTCTATTGGTATATCACATAATTACTTTTCCTACTATTTTAATTTCTACGCTATTTTGATTCATTCTTTGAGTCAAAGAATCAGCAGTACATACTGTCTTTATTTTAATTTCTTGTATGTAAATTTGTCTTCCTATAGAACGAACCCGTAATAATGTTTACAACTCCGAGCTAATTCCGAACTATTTTGATATAAACTTGCAACTTTGCTGCAAGCAAAAATTTTAGTGAGATATTTACATATATCAGATGCAACATCGTATAAAACAATGTCTAAATTATTTACATGCTACTGTCCTCATCTTTGTAGTTATTATCGTAACATTTTGACCTCTGTGTCTTCTGCTAAACAAATGGTGAAACTGGGATAATAACAAGGGTATTTTATTCGTCGAAGCATCTATAGTGGAAGTGGTTTTGACGTTCATGACAGACAGGCAACCAAGAAAGGCCATGCAACTTCAGTATAGAAAATAATTTATTTCAAAATTCCGTAAACATGGACGTTTGTACAAGCAAAAAGTCGGAGTGTGAAAAGGATGATTTTTCCTACGAGATCGTTTTTATTTTAACTACCTTCAGTCTTCGGCAATTTTTATTGTTTTAAAAAAATAAATTATAATAAGACCTAAAAATAACATGAAAGGGAATTTATGCATTGTTTTTGTTCTTGAGAATTAACAAACATAGCAAACACTGTTTATTAGAGTGTCTATTTACAAGAATGATTTTATATTTACTACGGTATAAAAACTAACACAATTAAAACTAATGCAATGCAATATTTATCATTTACCGAATTATAAAGAAATACATACGAAAACATCTACTCTTTTATAAAGTATGAATCAAAAGTCAGTTAGCCGATGTTTTGCCAACCGTTGCCATGAAGAATATAATGAATAGCATAGATAAAGAATCTAATAAATAAATAGTGTTTATTATTTTCGTTGGCAATTCTCAAGAACAAAGAAAATGTATAAATTCGCTTTCATATGTTTAGGTTTTATTACAAGTCTAATCATCACTTTTTAAAATAATAAACATTGCCGAAGAGTGACGGTAGTTAAAAAAGCGGTGTCATGGGAAAAACCGTCCTTTTGAAACGACGTTTTTTTTTTTTTCGGTACGAAGGTCCATATTTGCTCAAATTTCTTGCAGTTTTTCTCATGTGCAAAGTTTTATGATAAAAGTATGATCTAAACGGGTAATAAAATCGTAAGAATACGAAAAGCCTCTGTTATAATAGAAAAAAAAAAAATTTTCTGCGGAATTGGTGATAAAATCATAAATGTAATACAATAAATATTTCAAATAAAAGTCTTTTAAATAAGTATTGTATAATATAATAATAAGGGAAAATAGAAACCTAGAAATGAAGTAATGTCGGAATGATAACAGATTTATACTCCTTTCAATTCATCACCGTTTCTATGGCCGATGTGTTTAAATTAACATGGACTGGAGCTCCCGCTATATATTTAGAGTTTCTTAATAAAATACAAAGAAGAATCTGCAATGTTATTAGTCCTGACCTGTCATCTCGCCTTAAATCATTTTAACATAGCTTCTCCGTGCATTTTCTATAAATACTTTCATGGTAATTGTTCAGATGAACTTTCCTCTATGGTACCTAGACTTTATGAATTTAAGCGCAGTACTAGATTGGCGGAAAGGTCCCATCATTTTACAATTGAAATTGATATGATAGATGTCTGTCTATATCTCTGAGATGAGGTATTATGATTATTTACATTATTTGCATTATTCGGAATGTTATCCTCATCTTCACTGCCATATTCACAACGTTTCGGCTGTTGTACGCTCCGTCCTTCTTCAGGATACATGGCCCAGTGGATAAAGACGTTGGTTAGATCCAGTGACAAGTCCCAAATATTTGTGAGTTCAATGCCATGCTACAGCAGTGGCGAAACAAAAAATATTAGAGAGTTGAGTTAAAGGGAAAAAAAAACTGAGACATCCGGAAGAGGCATGGCACGTAGAACTAGAACAATCTACTCCGGTGGACGAAATAAAGAGTTCAGTCCGAAATTTCAATTACCTGAAGAAGGCCAGAGTGTACAACGGCCGAAACGTTGTGAAAGATACCAATGAAGATGAGAATAAAAGTCGGAATAATGTAAATAATGTACATGATATAATTGATGTAACGGTAAATTTAAGGCTAACAATTCCTTCTATCGTACTTCTCGCTTGTGGAACTCTCTTCCAACGTCTTGTTCTCCGGGCAGTTTTGAATGCAATGGAAATCGTTAATTTAAATGCAATGTCAATTGTTATCTTCTGTCGCCTTAATTCTTGTTCTTTTATTATCCACTCTCTTTAATAGTATTTTTTCTCGTATTATCTAACACTCAGTAACCCATTGCGTCCTAGTGGCTTTATTGTCTTGCTTGGGGTGAAACTGTGAAAAAAAAATCGTATCCATGAAAGTCTAGACCCCAAAATGTGGAAGACATGTTCAAGTCTTGTTGTTACCTCCTGAGACATAAAAGCGTATAGACCCAAAATGTTGGGATAAAAAGCAACGTTTATGAAATGCCGTAAACTAATAATAATTGTGAAAATCTTTCTTATAGAAGAAAATAAAAAAAAACTTCAAAGAAATATCCATCTAAAGTTGTTTATTTTCTCCTATTTGATTTTGCAAATGGCTCCAAAGATTTTCCATTATTTATGGCATACCTAAAATGCTAAGCTACTGGACTTCTAGGTAGGGTTATTAATATATAACATCCGACAATAGAAAGTTAAGCTTGCTTTTTGCTATGATTGCTCAAAAGGATTTTTATAGTTTAATTACGAATAGAAATCGGCTGCCACAGAAAGATGAGGGATAAAATGTTCTTTTTGCCTTTTATCAAGTCTCCAGCGCATAGCCTTTACTCCCAGCAACCCAGAATGAATGATACAGGCAGACCGTGGAGACAATGCATATAGATCTTTTAGAGAGATCACAAAGAAATTCCATTAGAACATAAGACAGATAATCTTACTTTTTTTCTTACTCTCCCTCTGTCACACTCTCCCTCTGTCACCCTCTCTCTCTGCCACCCGCTCTCTCTCTCTCTTCCTTCTCCTGCAACCTTTTCTCTCTCTCTCTCTCTCCCTCTGCCACCCCTCTCTCTCTCTCTCGGTCACCCTCTCTCTCTGTCTTCCTTCTGCAACCTTCTCTCTCTCCCTCTGCAACCCTCTCTCTCTTCCTCGTCCGCCCTCTCTCTCTCTCCCTCCCTCTGCCACCCTATCTCTCTCTCACTCTCTCCCTCTGCAACTCCCTCTCTCTCCCTCTTCAACCCTCTCTCTCTCTCTCTCTCTCTTTGATGTCGGCCTTTATTTTCCTACAACGTAATTACATGATCCGCATTCCGTTTAGAGATCTTTTATTTAGCGTGAATACTTTTTTGTCAAAAACGCTGACTAAAATCTTGTTACAAGAAGACAGTCTCAGTCTGTTCGTCTTTAGTAACACGGACACATTTGTCATTGTTATTTAAAACAAGAACAACACAATAAAGTGGGGAGTACCCTTTAAACACACACACACACACACATTTTAATTTTTTAACTTTTTTTATAGTTGAACGTACACCGACATTGGGTGCATTTGATCGCTGGAAGAAAAGTTTAGACCTTAGAATTTTTTTTATTATTTATATATTTTATTATTTATATTTGATTCGTTTTTTACGGCTTATCAACCCGTTGCAGGTTATTTAAAGCTAGAGAATATTGTTTGATTGTAAGAATGTTTTCCTTTTTATGATAATAATGATTTAGTGATATAAATATTACTAATTAATCCATAGCCCGGGGGAGAAGAGGTAGATTCATAACTATCCCAAGAGTCTTTGTGCGTAAGTAAATATAAGGAAGTCAAGAGAAATTAGAACTCGGCTCTCTGATTAACAGTTCCAAGCTATTAACCATTACACCACACGCATATCCAAGCTTACAGCACCTGGTATTCTCAAGTGGTCACCCATCTAGCTACTGATCAGGCTCGACATTGCTTAACTTCGGTGACGTACGTGAACCGGTGTTTCAACGTGATGTGGCCGTAAGCCCAGTTTATCAGTTTCTGTTGAAAAATGTTATGATCTCAGATTAAAAAAAAAAATCATGGATACCTGGCAAAATTGAACCATAGACCCTGTTTTTACGTCGGCTGCCTCATCATTTTTGGTGCTGATTCTAAACAAGGCAATAAAGCCACTAAAACTCAAGAGTTACGAAGTGTGAAAGAATGTGAAATAAAAAAAAACATAGTTAAGGAATGAAGACAATAAAAGAACAGGCAGACAAACGATAGCGATTGACATTGCATTTAAATTTTTGAAGATCAAAGTTGACTGGAAAGCAAGAAACTGGAATAAATTTCCACAAGCGAGAATCTGAATTTAAATTCCAATGACATGCTTATTATATCGGAAGGACCACCCAACTTCTACAGAAGGCAATTAATCAACGGATCCAGTCGTTTATTAGAAAAGATCAACTAGATGACTTACACCATTGGTTGAGAGTTAATAATAGTTTAGTGATACAAGTCTTATTAATTAACCTATAGCTGGGGGAAGAAGAGATGGATTCATACCATTCCCAAGGGTATTTGTACGTAAGTGAATATAATGAACCCAACGGAAATTGGAACTCGGCTCTCCGATTAACAGTTCCCAGCTATTATCCATTACCCCACACGCACATCCAGGCTTACAGGATCTGGAATTCGCAAACGGTCACCCATCTAGGTACTGACCAGTGTTGATGTTGCTCAACTTCGGTAATCGTACAGAGACCGGTGTTTCAACGTGATTTGGCCGTATACCTTATAATAATAGAAGAGTATAGAAATGTTACTTTCTGATAGTGATTTACGAAATATGGCTTAGATGTGGCACAAGGCCGAAAATGTGAGGCACTGGTGGAGGATCGAACTCACTGCTCAGTTGTAATGGTTCTAGCTAAGCAAGCACGCTAACTTAACCATTACACTACATCGAGGTTACCTTTAAAGGATTTCATGTCTTTTTGAGACATAAATCCTTTCAGATAGATGCATTCGTAACTTCCATTGGTATTGGTGCATTTATGGCTACAACAGACGTTGTCTAAAGCGAATTCATTGACATCGGTAAATGGAAGGTGATAATGATCAAGAGTGTGTATATACATAAAGTGAAATATTATTTCATTACTTTCGATAGATATTTATATACGTTTACGGTCAGTTTAATGAAAACTTGCTTAAATATATGAACGTTTTCTTTTTTTTTATAACGACTTTAATCGAATACGCCTTTTGCCTGTCCACCTTCACGCACACACACACACATATTAAGAATAAGTATACAAAACTTGTCTAAATTATATGATCAGACATATATATATATATATATATATATATATAGAGAGAGAGAGAGAGAGAGATATGGGCGCGTGATTGAGACCTGGGTTCGAATCTCACCATGTCAGAAAGGCGATTTTCTTATGTTATCGTACTTGAGGTAACTTTGGAAAATGCCTGAAAGCAATACCACGCGGGCCGTCGATAGCTGTGCTAGCACGAAGCCGCAAGTCATCGTGCCCGAGGGCTTGAGCGTGCTGGCCTTGTTCGAATTGTTGATCACGCTGGATAACATGGTATCTTCCAGAAACTGCAACTAAGGTCTGCTCAGCATAGTCGTATTATGAACCACAAGTGGGCTTTGTGGGTGTTGAGAAAACACAAATGTGCCTGAGAGGGAGTCTGCAAGAGGGATTGGCTAGCCGCCCTAGTAGACGGGTATCCTAGAATATGAGTGGCTACCTATTATATATATATATTATATGCGCAGTGTTTTGTAGAAAGTACTCAATATCAGTAATAGACGTATATTAATGATATTTCTTGTGTTTGATTACACAGAAGAAAATTCCCCACCACCATAAAACATAATCAATTTTGTCTGATGATCGTAAAAGCGAGAAACCCAGAGTCATAAACTAATATCCATATAACTGAATATATATACACACACACACACATATATATATATATATATATATATATATATATATATATATATATATATATATATATTAAATTTTATCATTATTATTATTGTTATTATTTTTTGTTATTATTATTTTTTAATTTTTTTTTGTAGTTCACTGCTACCAGCAAGCAGAAAATTATTTTTCTCCTGATGATGGCCATGTTGGCCGAAACTAGTCGAAGAATCTAAATGAAATAATAATAAAAACGAAGGAATATTGATATACAACCCAATGTGTCTGACGATTTTAATCTTTTAATATTTTTTATTGTTCAATATATATATATATATATATATATATATATATATATATAACATTCGGACTATTGTTCTTAACGTTGTTGTTATTGTCACATAGTTTCGAATGTTCTATTCTCCGGCTTTCTTTGGGTGTTTATCGATCGGAGTTACCTTTAATTAATATCTAACAATATTTCATTTAATCTACAGGGGTAGTGTGCTCTTGTTCTGCGGGCCATGTCTAGGGATATCCCGTCTTGTCTTGACTATTCAATAGTTATTAGTTACTGCTAGCCCGAGTAGATAACTACATAAGCCACCAGAACAGTAGCAGCCAAAGCTGTTACACGCATTTCCAGTCTCGAATGTGGTCATATATCTTACTGATTGTAATAGAAATCGTAAAAAAAAAAAAATGGATCTGAGAAGCGGTCGAATATGTGCAGTAGAAGAAGTAGAAATAAAATGCTATTAAAAATTGTGCCCGTAGGAATAGATGAATTTGCAAATTTCCATTTCTACTTAAACTAGATTATAAAGGTCAGAGGGAAGAGGAAGAGAAAAAGAAGGTGGCTATATAGATTACTTTCATCCGATAGACTGTAATGCTTATGCATTAATATCTTATGCGAGTTTGTCACATTGATATGGAATGCAGATCGTACTTATGGAAATATCCGGCGTCGCTCTGGATAAATCTGTTATCAGAATCCTGTTTTTCGTCTGATAAGATCGGAGCGAAAAGAACAAAGAGTTTAATATTCGTATTGGTTTATAGATTTTCATTTAAAAATATTTTAAAACTTATCTCTGTAAACCTATCTACAAAGAAGATATTAAAAAAAAATACGACACAATCTTTCATTTAATCTACGGGGTAGCGTGCTCTCGTTCCGCTGACCATATCTACGGATATCCCATTTTGTCGATATTCAATAGTTATCAGTTATTGCTAGCCCGAGTAGATAACTATATTAGCCACCAGGACAATAGCAGCCAAATCTGTTACACGCATTTTTAGTCTTGGATGTCGTCATATAGCGCGTCGATTTGCATGTAGTTCTTCTTTGACCATTAGCTGTTTCGTGGGTTCGATTTTTTTTTCGGGCAATAATCGTGAATATAAGCGCGAAGTGGTTCGTCCTTCTCAGGAACCTTGATAAGTTTAAATTTACGTAAAAAGTGTGATATTTTGACTGTGTCCAAATCTTTGGTTGGCATGGGTAGTTTCATTCTCCCGCGAAGTTTATCACGACAGCAGACTATGTTAAATCTTTGATGAAGATTGACCACACTTAGTTCAGACAGATGGAATAGTTATAACGGTGGTGTCAAAATTTGTGCAGTGCTCATATAATAAGAGTAAGGCTGTTTCAGTTCATTATTAATAGGCTTATTTAATGAAACGGCCTATATGGTTTCAAAACATCATATTAATCTCCAGGAAGTGAATCATAATGTCACGTGCGCATTCGCGTTTGGAACACTACAACTGAAGTCACAATAGATTTCCACCTAGTATCCCGCTGTTATGAACCAATGCTTAATGATGCTAAAAAAGGAGCCAATAATTCAATCTATAAAAATGGCGTTAGATTTGTTAAATCCTCGAGTAGAAAATTTAATTTCTTACCGGCATCTGATCCTGTTATTTCTAGATCGGCATTTAATGTTTGTGCAAATTGGTTTCTTGAAATATTTGTAAATAAAATCGTTTACGCGGCCTTGTGGGGGATGACTCATTTACCATCCTATAGCCTCTTTCCCCAAGGACGAAATGTCGTAAGCTCGTTGCTGTTCGTCTCTGTGTCTCAATCGATAAAGGAATGTCAGGCTACATGACGGTTCCGTATAGGATGCCGGTTCGATTCCTGTCGGAGGACAAATATTTTCTATGAAAATTTCTCGAACATTCAGGCCGGTAAACGTTGTTAATACTGTTTATTATAAACAGAGCATTTACTTAAATATCTGTATGTATAAAAAGACCGTATAAACATAAAAATGACTTAAAATAATTGTCGGACTTTGTCCATTTCATAAATA